GTGGCTCACGCCTGTAATCCCAGCACTTTGGGAGGCCGAGGCGGGTGGATCACGAGGTCAGGAGATCGAGACCATCCTGGCTAATATGGTGAAACCCGATCTCTACTAAAAAGCAAAAAAATTAGCCGGGCGTGGTGGCAGGCACCTGTAGTCCCAGCTACTCGGGAGGCTGAGGCAGGAGAATGGCCTGAACCCGGGAGGCGGAGGTTGCAGTGAGCCGAGATCAGGCCACTGCACTCCAGCCTGGGAGACAGAGCAAGACTCCGTCTCAAAATAAATAAATAAATAAAAAGAACATCGTCACAGTCCTCCTCACTAATTCATTTTTTAAAGTACGCTTATTTTTTGTTTAAATATGTGATTTTTGTTAACATGTAATGGCTTATTATTTTTATCTGAATTAAATACTTGTAGCTTTAATGTCTAATATAGGATATATCAATAGACATACTGCACATAACCAGCCATCAATCATTGTTTCCAGTGTAAAGGGGTCTTTAGACCAAACAGTTTGAGAACCATGTGGGTACTGATTCTTGGGTTCTAGTCACTGGGATTCCTCTAGCCTTAGTGTTGAACTATTGCTAGTTGTTAAAAGGACGTTAGCATGTCTGCAGCTTCTGCTTACGGGCTCCGTAAGTAACTGGTCATAGAGAAACAGGCCACTCACTGCCTTCACAAAGTGGGGACCATCTTAAGCGCCTAGAGTTGGGCCATACGCTGAGACTTCTGAGTAGTCAGGTTTTCCGTGCAGAAACCCCAGCATTCGAGACCTGTGGTCCTCATTCTGCCTGCTCAGGTATCTTCTGTATGACGTCAACCCCCCGGAAGGCTTCAACCTGCGCAGGGATGTCTATATCCGAATCGCCTCTCTCCTGAAGACTCTGCTGAAGACGGAGGAGTGGGTGCTCGTCCTGCCTCCGTGGGGCCGCCTCTATCACTGGCAGAGTCCTGACATCCACCAGGTCCGGATTCCCTGGTCTGAGTTTTTTGATCTTCCGAGTCTCAATAAAAACATTCCCGTCATCGAGTATGAGCAATTCATTGCAGGTGAGGCCGAGCGGCACGCTGGGAGGCTGTGGTTTTTTAACTGGGGCCGGGCAATCATTTCTAAGGTAGACATCAGGTTGGGCTTGCGACTTCATCCAGACTCACCAGCATCCTCCAGTGCCCAGCGCTGCTGCCTGAGGCCTGTGGCAGCACCTCCTCCACTCAGGAGCGCAGTCCCTTTCCCATGCTGCAGTGAGCTTCCCAAAATGTTTCTCGGGAAATAGACCTGAAGTGGATGAGCTTTGTGCCCCCTGACTTCTGGAACCCACGGTGGCCTGACGAGTAGGTGAATGCAGTTAGAGCCGCCCTAGCACCCTAAGAAAGCGGCCACCCCGGGTGTTGGACTGACAGGACTCGGCTCCCTGTGCGAAAGGCTGTTTTACGCTAAGGATGACGTGCTGCGTGCGGAGTATGCTTCGTGGTGTCTCTGTGCGGCACCAGGGATAAAGGTCTGTCTTGTTTAACTTTGTGTTGCTTAACTTTTTCATTTAATTTTAGGAGAGGAATTAAAGCTCTTCTTAGAATGAAGGTATTCAGAGCTTTTTGTGTTGTGTCATTTGGAAGACATAAATTTAAAAATAAGTGATGCTTTGCTGCTGCATTTGAGAAGCCGTTAAGATGAATGAGTTAGTTTTGAGTCAGGCTCCTGCTTTCCAGCAACTGTTGAGTTCTTACTGGACAGCCACTCTTGGGGCTTAGAGACCTTTGCTCCCTGCCAAGGAGTGTGGCTCCCGTGCCGTCATTTTTCAAGGATGGTGCTCGTTGCACCCTAGATCTTGTCACTTTGAAATGTTTTCTCTGGCAGGGTCAGTCTTGTGAGTGCTAGGGGCATGCAACAACAGGGAGTAACCTCTGACATCCTGGTTGATACCAAGTCACAAAGTCTGCCGCTTGTAAAAAGCATTCCTAGAGTGCATCCTGAGTTGACTTTACAATTTGCTCATGAGTCCTGGAAGATGAAAGCTGTGGTTGGGTAGTTGGTGTAACTAGCAGCCAGCCCTTGGTCTGAACATTAGGTTACAGGAACTCGGAGACGTTATCCTTACCTCCCTTTGGGACCAGTGGGTTTCCTGACAGGGAAGCGGGCAGGTCTGGGCCTTGGGCATCCAAGTGCTTGGGAAGGTCTGGGAAGACAGACCCCGTGTGATGAGCTTCTGAGGCGGATATGCTGGCCTCACGCTTCCCTGCCGTCTACCAGCCTGGGGCTTTGCTGAGCTGTTTCCTTGCCTGTAAGGTGGGGAAGGAACTAGCTCCTGATGTGGCTAACATAGCACCCAGCATGCGGGATCTTCACCACCTCCCACTAGCATAGAAGGAGCCCCCGCAGCTCCGGCCTCGGGCCTGTAGGCCACGCAGCCTTTAGCCCCCAGTCATGAGTGAGCAAAAAGGACACCAGAACTTCACCTGCACGGTGCTCCCTCCCCGCTATGTTCCTGCCCCAGGACTTCGCCTGTACGGTGCTCCCTCCCCGCTATGTTCCTGCCCCAGGACTTCGCCTGCACGGTGCTCCCTCCCCACTATGTTCCTGCCCCAGGACTTCGCCTGCACGGTGCTCCCTCCCCACTATGTTCCTGCCCCAGGACTTCGCCTGCACGGTGCTCCCTCCCCGCTATGTTCCTGCCCCAGGACTTCGCCTGCACGGTGCTCCCTCCCCGCTGTGTTCCTGCCCCAGGACTTCGCCTGCACGGTGCTCCCTCCCCGCTTTGTTCCTGCCCCAGGACTTCACCTGCACGGTGCTCCCTCCCCGCTGTGTTCCTGCCCCAGGACTTCACCTGCACGGTGCTCCCTCCCTGCTATGTTCCTGCCCGAGGACTTCACCTGTACGGTGCTCCCTCCCCGCTATTCCTGCCCGAGGACTTCACCTGCACGGTGCTCCCTCCCCGCTATGTTCCTGCCCGAGGACTTCACCTGCACACTGCTCCTTTCCTGCAGTGCTCCTTCCCCAGAACTTCACCTGTGCGGTGCTCTTTCTCCGCTGTGTTCCTGCCCCCTTGAGCAGATCTTGATTGTTGACCTCTTGGGCGACGCAGTGTCACCTTCTCTGTGTGGGTTGGGCCGTGGGTAAGAGGCACGATTCCTGCTCGCCTGAGCTCCTGTCCCTGGGGGAGGCAGGACACCAGTGCAGTAGATGGTGGCCCAGGTGGTGAGGAGCACTGTGGGAAACCAAGGGGGTAGGGGACAGTGGCCTCACAGAGGGCCAGAGAGCGAGCCCCCGGGGCTGGACCAGGGGCGTGAAGGCTGGACGGGCTCACATGGGCCCCTGTGAGGATGGGGCCTGCTGCAGCCAGGCAGGGGTGGGGCTGGGGAATCGGGGACTAGCTCCTCCCCACTGGCTGCTATTGCACGCTGTCGGCCCTGTGCCATCATGGCCTGTGCTCTGACCTGTCTGGGCCTTTGTGAGCCTCCTGCAGTCTCTTTGGGAATAGGGTGGTGTACAGTAGTAAGAGTCACCTGCTGGTGGCTGATGCGTGCCCATTAAGTGAGCTTCCAATTGCTGTCATGCTGCCCGGCTTCTCTTGGTGTTTTTCAGAGTCTGGTGGGCCTTTTATTGACCAGGTTTACGTCCTACAAAGTTATGCAGAGGGATGGAAAGAAGGGACCTGGGAAGAGAAGGTGGATGAGCGGCCGTGTATCGATCAGCTCCTGTACTCCCAGGACAAGCACGAGTACTACAGGTGCCTGCTGCGGCTGCTCCCCGCCTCCTCCCCCTGCCGCAGGCGCCCCCCCGCC